ACTGTGTAAATCATATATATACAAAGCGTCCCCAGATACATCCAAAATACAGTGCTTCGCGTCAACACTCTACAATAATATGCATGATTTCCATTACCTTTCGTAAGCTTTTAATACTCACTTGGGTTTTAAGCCTTATATCGACATGGTTCTCTCCATTTTCGACATCTTTTACATATCCTATTAAATAAAATTTGCCCGGAATGAGGTCGTATCGATTTGATTCGACGTCCAGCGTCCATTTCTAAAAATAGATTATACATACATATATGAGAAGATCGGGCTTTGTCCGATTCCATTTTTGACCACCTACCTTCTCTATCATTTTTGAGCAATGTAGGATTTGAAATGAATCAAATATTTTATTTTATTTCTATTTTTCCTCCAAAATTCCACTTTGCGTTGTATCTAAAATTCCGCGCCATCTAAATCGAATTCTTTGTAGGAATTAGGAATGTAAAAAACATCGATGTATCGAGCAAAATCGATGGTCGAGGCTTCAAACATCGATGTTCGTCGATGTTTTAACGAATCCGATGTTAAACCAAAACATCGAAGAAATTACTGTCGGATTTTATACTGTGAAGTGAATTATTGTAATACGATATTGATTAATCGCATAATACAAAAGGAGTAATAAAATGAAAAATTAATATTTAAATTCATCTACATATGTCGTTTCAATCAAAAAGCTAGACGGTATTTTACTATTTCAATTTCAGTATTTCAATGATATGTTTGAGACATTGGAGTTCAAGTTGAGAACTAACATTTTCTCAACTTGAGAAACAGTCCTTTTTTCATACAAAGAAAAATGCCCTTTTTGTTGAGAATGCTATGATCCTCCACTTGAGGTACTGTTGAGAAACAACATTGGAGATTTGAGAAATACCTTAGTTCTCAACTTAACCTCAAGTTGAGCTCAAACCTAAATGTTTATCGGGTTGACTAATTTTTCACGATTTCATTTTGTGCGCGCTTTAAAATTTTGTGCCAGCGTTTGATGGGCCCTATCACACGGTCAGTAATTATCACGATATTTGGATCGCGATCCATATTGATGGATTGATGGATCGCGCCCGAATGCTACATGTTCAGTATTTATCGCGTCAGTATTTGCATAATTTTTGTGCTGAACGCTTATTATGACGCAAAAAAGTATTTTTGTTTTGTACATATAATTTACAGATAATGCATTCCACAATTATTTTAAAATTTCCAATGTTAATTACAATTTTTTCAATTTGTTTTTAAAGGTTTCGAGCATCGAGAGCGAAGGCAGAGCGAATACGCTTTCGATGTTCGCATTATGAGAGTAAAAGATGTACTGACGAAAATGTATGGATCGCGTTTTGAACGTGCTACACGTTCAATATTTATTGACGGTATTGCGGTCCGCGACACAGATTTCAAAATTTTTAAAAATTTTGCGATATGGATTACGATCTATCAATACTGCATGCTACACCGTCAATTAATATCGCGATACTTGGATCACGCCAATAAATACTGACAGTATATGTGATTAAATTTTTACTTTATATTTGCTTTGTAAACCACCATCGAACTGCCATCGATGTAGTTTTTCGAAACATCGATTCTTCAAACATCGATGTTTGCACCGTAATTTACTATCCTATCGAGAAACATCGATGGTCGTTTGCTATTTTGAGTGAGCGTTTGATAAAAAAAAGTACTTTCATGGAATCATGCCCACGTAAGTTCCTTTGATAAATTCGTAAATTCCAATTAATAAATGTAAATGTATATACTTTTAAGTAAGAGTTATTTAAGTAAGAGAATTTTAATACCGTCCGCTGCCGCAAGGTATAAGGCATATGAGTAAGTAAAATGCCTTCAATTTTCTGTTACAATTTATTTTTGTTTTTATAGGAAAAAAGTTCCGAATCCGCTGTTGATAAACATATGGGGTGTTCACAGTTCGTTCCAAATTGTGTCTGAAAATG